GAAAATCTACTTGTCCTGTGGCAAGTACATTTTTTTTTAAATTTTCGAGGCCTGAACTCGTGTAAATATAGAATGTTGAAGTGTCAAACTGACAATGTGTCAAGTTATTATTTCATGTGTAATTCACACACGATTCATGTTTCACTGTTGCTCAAAATGACACAATTCAAAGTTAAACTTTTTTCAGTCCATTACCAGAAATGATTGACTTGTTTTAGAAAAATAATTCTGATTATGGTATATAATAAATGAGCTCACTACAAAATGGCACTGCCCATAGACTGGAAATGCGCCATTGCAAACATTTAGAGTATTTGTATTTGGGTGTATCATTCAATACCAATGGCTACCTACACAAAACCATCAGGAGACTTGTAGATAATGGTAGGAAATCAGAATGCTCAATTGTAAACATCTATAATGGTATCAACAATAACACTAAAATTAAAACCAAGTTTTATAATACTATTCAATCACCAATCATTCAATAAAGTCACTATGAATCTAAAGCAATGGGACAAAACAGAAACAGAACATTTTTATTTAAAGACATATTTTAAACATAAACAAGCACAATTGGACATCGCTTTGAAATAGACTCTTACTGATCACAAAAAATTCAATATCAGGCAATTAAATATTATCAACAATGGTCCTAACCCAGTTTAACTCACCATGCAATTCTCAACCATGGACTGACGTCACAACTTTGCTAAGAAAGTCAATAGAGCTTTCAAACATTGAGAAACCCATTAGTGAAAAAAAAATTTACTTTATTCTGTGGTAAAGTTGTGTTTTCAAATTTTAGATTAAGGATATTTGTTTACATTGTTTTGAAACGTACAGTCTGACCTAACCATGATTTTACCGAAAATTTAACCACTGGAATTTTTTTTTTATTTATTTGTTGCAACCTTTTTAAATCAGTGGCTCACCAAAGGAAGTACACATCTAAGAATAAATCAATTATGAGAAGCAAAACACATATCTGAACGTACAAATAATTATAAAAAATTGGTTCAATAGGTGTTTAAAAAGTATGCATGTTTAGTTATTCGTTTTACGATACCTGGATGCCTTAGGGTTGAGAATGGCCTATCGAATCATACAACATATTGTAGGGTACCAGTAATGAGAAAATCTAGAGCCTCTACACCATACCAATATATTGTACGGTACCAGTAATGAGAAAATCTAGAGCCTCTACACCATACCAATATATTGTACACTACCAGTAATGAGAAAATCTAGAGCCTCTACACCATACCAATATATTGTACGGTACCAGTAATGAGAAAATCTAGAGCCTCTACACCATACCAATATATTGTACTGTACCAGTAATGAGAAAATCTAGAGCCTCTACACCATACCAATATATTGTACGGTACCAGTAATGAGAAAATCTAGAGCCTCTACACCATACCAATATATTGTACGGTACCAGTAATGAGAAAATCTAGAGCCTCTACACCATACCAATATATTGTACGGTACCAGTAATGAGAAAATCTAGAGCCTCTACACCATACCAATATATTGTACTGTACCAGTAATGAGAAAATCTAGAGCCTCTACACCATACCAATATATTGTACGGTACCAGTAATGAGAAAATCTAGAGCCTCTACACCATACCAATATATTGTACCACCAGGTAAACAAAATATTCATTTTTGTGCTACATGTACATTCCAGGAATATGGATGTATCATTGGACATATATCCATTGCCATCTTCGCTAGCCAAGGTCTAAGTTTATTCGGCCAAGCCTCTAAACAGACCTTGGCAGAACGACCATCAAATATGCGTATTCTAACAGCGCCCCCAGTAGTCAGTTGCGGCTAATCATTGTCCAATCAGTTTGCATGTTACAAATCCCTATTTATCGTTTCATTTTAAACAAAATGGCAGCGCCCATGAATTGTGATATTTGTGATGATAAAATTGCGAAAGTTTTCGGTGTTAGTGCCCTCAAGCCTCATCAGTTACAGGCAATCAACGCAGTTTTGTGTGGAAAAGATGTCTTTATAGCGACAAAAAGAGGAAGTGGAATTTTGTTTTATAATTTGGTACGTCCAAGCTGATTGGGCATCAATCAGATCTCACTGTTTAAGATACGCAATTAGCCTATGCGATCCCGCACGGTATCGTGTAGAGGCCTACACAAGACCATGCGATTCGGATGATGATCCATTGCAATCTGGCATTTATTAATATTTTTTTTCAGAATTGTTGGAAAGGGTCTTTCTGAGAGTTGGGTCTGCTGAAACTGATGAACAGCTTCAAAATGTGGTTTCTAAATTCCTAGCTCCTGTACTTCTCAAGCTATCAAGTCAACAGGAAGGAGTCCGGAAAAAGGTATGTCATATATTCAATATAAATCCCACTCTTTGGATGGTGAACTCTATGATGGGGACAGTGTATGATATATGTTATGGTACATTGTACATCCTTCTCTTTGGATGGTTGACTGTATATGTCATGTATGCTATGAAACTGATCAAAATCAGTTTAAATGTTAGCTGCCATACTAGTATCCTACCAGCAGAACAAATACTAGGGTTGTTGACAGCTATGTTGTATGTAAGTTCTTTTTAGCTTCTCAACTTTGTGGAGCAGAGCTTTTCATATGAGCGTCCGCGTCAACTTTTTACTTTTTCAACTTCTTCTTGGAAACTACAAGTCTGAATGCTTTGATACTTGGTGTATATGTACCTTGGGTAGACCTCTCTTAGATTTGTTCATTTCATGATGATATCTTCAATTCTCTAATTTTGTGAATATTTTTATCATTTTTGGTAAAAGTGGTATTTCCGACTTCTTGTTAAAAAACGCAAGTTCAATTGCTTTGATATTACAAATATAGGTACTACATGTGGACCTCTCTCAGATTTGTTCATTTTATGATGATGTCTTCAATTCTCTAATTTTGATGAATATTTTTGGTAAAAAGTGATATTTTCGACTTCTTGTTAAAAACTGCAAGTCGGATTGCTTTGATATTACATATAGAGGTACTACATGTGGACCTCTCTCAGATTTGTTCATTTCATGATGATATTTTCAATTCTTTAATTTTGGTGAATATTTTTGTAATTTTTGGTAAAAAGTGATATTTTCGACTTCTTGTTAAAAACAAAAAGTCCAATGGCTTTGATATTACATATATACATGTAGGTACTACATGTGGACCTTTCTCAGATTTGTTCATTTTGTGATGATATCCTCAATTCTCTAATTTTGGTGAATATTTTTGGTAAAAAGTGATATTTTTGACTTCTTGTTAAAAACTGCAAGTCTGATTGCTTTGATGCTATACCTATTGTTCATTTTCTAATGATATCTTTAGTTTTTATTAATTGAAATGTGCATTGCTAACAGCGGAGCTATCTCAGCCGACAGGCTGCTTGCTTGATACTTTGCATAACTGAAAGGTGCCAATTGAAAAATAAAAATTCACGTAGAAATCTGAATAATTTACATTTCGCACATGATTTTGCACATGGGATGTAATTGGGAAATATTTTACAGGTACATGTAGCAGCCTACTCGAGCTGGTGCTACAACTACAGTAACACCGTGGTAGTCCGATGTAATCTGTAGACTTTGGCAAACAGAGTAAAATGTGTCAACTGACAAACAGCTGACCAGAAAAAAATACATGAAAAACAAGGTTGTGGTTTTTTTGGGAATACATTCAGTGAATATATTTCGATCAACATGAACTCCAATCTGTTCAGTCATTAGCAAGTCAAGGAATCCACAAGTCCATACTCAAACAAAACAAAGGATAAATCCAGGGAAGAAATGAACAGTCAACATGTTTTATATAACAATGTGAATGATAAAATATGTCAACTGTCAATCAGCTGGGCCGAAAATATGTGAACAAAGTTTTGCATTATGTACAGCTTCCCTCAGGGGATCTTGGCTCAACACAGTGTTCATAGTATGTTAATTTCTGATGAATATGTAATGAATGGCTAATTTGCATAACAATTGGATGGTATATGTCAGTTCTACTGTGAAC